TGTTTCACAATTGGCCAATAATAACGTGTTATTCAATTTCATGTGACGACCAATCACGAGAAAGTTATCCTATATGGCAAACACAGCCCCATTATTTGCTCACGTGAGGTGATCTGCAAATCGGACGTTACTTTTGTTGGCTACTGTACGTACCATTACCCATATTAATGATATTACTTAAAAAAAAAAAAAAAAAAGGAAAAAAATATTAATCTTTTAATTCTGGCCAATTAATTTACTAATTACAGATGGTTGATATATTCATTATATATTACGGCATTATAACACATTAAATTATTCATTAATTATTACGACCTACGACACTATTTAATACTTACTACTTCTATTAAAACCTACGACACATTATACTACCCACTACTTATATTACGATTTACGTCAATACTACAAAAGTTGCAACTTTAGTAGTGAAAGTTGCAACACTTCTAGTAATGAGCATATGCGTATGCACTGTATGTACATATTTCACGAGGTATGACAATTATATCATTGAAAAAATTCCTGAAATCGCGAAGTCTAGATACTATTTCACACAATTTTGTGCAAAACAAATATCATAATGTTCTAAAATGAAATTTTAGACAACTTGCGCGATATAACTATAATATTGCATGAAAACACCGATATGTTAAATATACTGTATAAGGTTACCCTTGTTAATATCAACCTATTTTGAATTGGTTTTAAATCATGTTGATAGTGATATTAACGAGAGATCATATTAAAGTTGATATATATGAGGGAATTTTGATATATAAAAATTTATAAAAATTTGTTTTGTGGCTTAGGTTGATATTAACGAGGTTGATCTTGACGGAGGTAACCTGTACTAGGTTTTATCTTGCACAAGATACATCCCTAACAATACATGGCGTAGAAAGTATTTCGGCATTGATTTTTGATATGAAATGTCTGAGTTATTTCTGAAATAACTCAGACATTTCATATCAAAAATCAAATTCCGAAATAGTTTCTACGCCATGTATATCCCTAATGCTACTTTTATTTTATATAATAAAGATATTTACTATGTCTTGCATACTTAATTTGATTAGAGATTTGAGATTTTAAATTCGAAAACTTGGGATTTGGATGGGATTTGGAATCTGGGATTTGGGGATTTGGGATGGGATTTGGGATCTGACTAGTTTGGGATTATGACAGCCAATAAGGTTTGGAATGGAATTTGGGATTTTTCCACTTGGGATTTGGGTTTGAGTGGGATTTTAAATGCTTGAAGTTCGTGCGGTATGTATAACTGCATATGTACGCATATCTTTGGTTGAAGACAGAAATATGATACTTTCAATTATCTCCGCTGGCTAACAATGGAAAAAGAACTAGAAGGTTTATCAGTTTAAAAAAATTGACAAATCGGATTTTCAAGCACTTTCAATAATATGGATATATTGAAAACCACCAACCAGAAACTTTCTTTGATTTATACATTCTTTCACTGTAATATAGCACGTTTACATTTTTAAATATAGCTGGCACTATACATGTCTACGATATCAGGAAAAACAAAATCACTTCCGTCGCTTTTAGAAAATTATGTTTATTATACACAAACGATATAATATATGTTTAAAATTTTAATATTAGCACCTATTCGTGTAATATGTTATAGAAATTTATTTTATATTTAGAACAGCTTTTATATTTCCTGCCAAGATTTATTAGTTGAAAAGAACGCACATATTAAACACATCAAACAAACATGTCAGACAAGCATTCAAACGAAAAAAATTTGATAACATTTATATTATTGTTATAACGATCTATCAAACAATCATTAATAATACAAAAATAGTTTTTATTATATCAGCCGAAAATAATTCGAAAACAGCTGTAAATAATATGCCAGCTTAAACTAACTTACTTGAGCTGGCTTGAGCCATCAGCTCGAGGAGCCGACTCGGCTTGGTTCAAAAAGCCAAGCCGATCCCATCCTTACCGTTGATTCATAATTCATTGCCAATAGTTACCCAATAATCGCGTAAGTTATTTTTCCTACCAAATATTTCCAAGTAATTTCCTGAATAACATTCATAATAAAAAGAAATAAATATATGTCAATCATATCATTCAATGTTAACCATAAGCATGCATACCATTTGGAACTAATTCCTCAATCATCCCGTATAATTCTTCCGGTTTTTGACTTTGTCCACGTCTTTCCGAAAATATTACATCAGAAGAAATCGAATGTTTACATCCTGGTGGATCCTTTCCCTGTTTAATTCAGACCAAATAAAATAAACCAATTAATGATTGGCAAGTTAGCATAAATCAGTTTAATGAATTAAAAAAAAGAAAAGAACGAAACCGTCGTTTATTAATAAACATTTTAAAACATTATAGGTAATACTATACCTTTCTTCCCACTAAACAAGTTTCTTTTGCATGTTGTAAATAGAAACCATGTCCTTTAGCCATTCTTCTATTTACAGTTTGCTTCACCCACGTAATATCATCACAATATCTAATAGCAGAAATCAAAAGAAGATTAGAGTTATAAATTGAGATATCAAAACAGAAGCATGTGAAATGCGCGTTAAAGTATTTGTCAAAACCGTATGTTTCGTCAATGAAGTCTTTATCGCGTATATGCCTACTTCACACCATCAAAGTTTCCAAAATTGTACATACGTGTACCCCCATTTTTTCAGCATTTCAAAAGCCTTGGAATATTTGTTGTTAATTACCCATATAAATAAAAATCCATTTTTTTGTAATTTCGGTATGGGCAACTCCTCGATACAAATGTCTGGTAACTGTTGATAAGCGATTGCAACCTATCGTGTACAGTACAATACAACGTCACATAAATTATATGAACATTATATAAAATCGGGTATAAATAAAATGATAAATCCAATTTTATAATGGTGTAAAGAAAAATGTGAATAATTTACACCACGAGTTGGAGCATGAGTTGCTAATTGCCATGGAGGGTCCATTAGAATTACATCAAATTGACATTCTTTTGCGAATACCTTTGACGTTAATAAAAAATTTAGAATTAATTATTGAATGCTAGAAATGCCATGCAAAGTATAATCAAGTTTCAATAATTTAATGAGCTATGAACTTAATAATTAATTAGAAACAATTGTATTTATAACTAGGGTTGTTAATGGAGTGCTCCAGTCAATAATAAAACATATAACCTATTCCGGAGCATTCCAGAAGCGGGTTATATGTTTCGTTATAGTCTGGAGTAATTCTATTAACAACCCTACTTATTATAATACATACATCCCATTCAAATGTTAATACATCTGCTTTAATAGGAATACACCACTCTGGCGCTTCAAACTCTTCCCAGCAAATATCTAAGGGATAAACGCGAAAAAACGCGTAAATTTTGATTAAATTATTAACGAGTTAGCTTTCAAATTAGTTATTATTTTTTTTTTTTTAAACAGATTAAAAATCAACGTTTATATTAAAACAAGGCAAAATACCATTATTTCCAGCCTTATCTCCACCTTCGACACTTTTTCCGCGCTCTCTCTTTTTTCCATTCCCGCTGCATGTTAAACTACCGTCTTGACCATCCTTATTAGTAATCTTAGCTTCTAATTGTGTAATTTCTTCTATTAATTCGTCAATTTGTAACTGTAGTTCCGCTTCTCTATCTAACAAATATTTTAACTGCGCTTCTATTGCTGAATCGGAAAAAACTTTATTACTACTGCTACGACTACTACTGCTTGCACTATACATGGGTGTCGAAAATATTTTGCACTTGGCGTAAATTTAAATTTAAATGTGAAAATGATTTTTGACATTCGGTGTAACAGAATATGCAGTTCGTCTGATTGGCTAATGCAAATCAATTGCCCGGTAACTTATTTATACACTTTAAAGTACTTTTCAGTAACACAATGTTGTACTAATAAAAAATCGTTGTTCATAACTTTAGAATAGTGCCAATATTCACTGTGCAAAAGAATCTAAAAACGATCTTACTCCCCACAAACTTTGTTTAAAAAACAAAAAAGCCTTTTACTAGTAGCATTACGGAACCATGTGTAATTACTATTTGCAAGAGAAAAAGTAACAAATATGTTATTTTCAAAGGTCAAGCTAAAAAAAGATTTTCAAATTATGTTAATCTAGGCAACACAATTTGCTTAAACTGTTATAATAGAATTGTAACAAGAACTGTAATTAAATTTCAACATGCATTAGAATAGTTTTATATATAATATGCCAAAAACCTCTGAAAAACTTCTATAGCTATTTTTATTAATAATTTAATTTTTTACAGGTTGTAGAAATAATTACTGTCGTGGCCGATTGCAGTATTACGGGGTCTTGTTCGTTTCCACTTAGACAGAACACTCACTTGGCGCTGGTGTATCGTACCAGGCAC